CTATGAGTACGTAACGTAGTATTCATACGACATTCATATACACCGATACAGAAAGTTCATTTTTTTTAATATTTACGCTGATACATTCATCTACATTCGAGGTCTACGAAAATGTGCAATGAGTTCATCAAATGCAAGTTTGGTTGATGTTTTATTAATCAAGCCGAAAAGAAAAAGAAACACAATTGTCTATATGGAGACTTATGGGAAAACTAGAGATCAGCGTAGTTGCTTGAATCATATTCACTTGCAACTCTTAAGAGGTGCACCACACAAACACTTATTGTGAAAATATGAAGAAGAATCAAATGTCTGAAGTTTCCCTCCACTGGGAATACGTCCACACAGTTTGTTGTAGCTAACGTTGAAGAACTGAAGAGGAGCTTCGGTCCACTGAACCGGAATATTCCCTGTGATGCCATTGTGATTCAAGTCCAAGATACCAAGTGTCTTAGGGATCTTAACCTTGGAGAGATCGAACTGAAACATGTTTCTTGATAAATCAATGTACCCTGTCGTTTTGTTGGCTCCAAACAAGAGTGAAGCATCACCTTCGAGTTTGTTCCAGGAGAAATCGATCCGGTTAAAGTCGAGGTTGCCTAGTGATTTGGGAATCGAACCGGAGAGCTGGTTGTGTGACAGGTAAAGGTCAGGGACTGTTCCTGGAAACGACCCAAATGACTCTGGTATCGAACCTAATTGAATAAAATGTTTCTTGATCAGATTGAGAAAAAGGTGTCAATAAGTAAAGAATCGATTATCGATCATTAAACAATAAAAAAAAATGGATCTTTACCTGTAAGCTTGTTATAGCTAAGAATAAAGTTGAAAATATTAGGTAACATAGAGAGAGAAGAGGGTATGGAACCAGAGAGATCATTGTGGGAAAGGTCTATTTCCACGAGATTCTTGAGCTGACCAAGAAAATCAGGAACCGGTCCGGTCAGTTTCGTCAAGGTGAACCGGTTGGATTGGACCGGTGAGGTTAGAGAGTTGGCGGAAGATAAGGGTTTCCAGATACGGTAAGTCGCCGACTTCAGGCGGGATCTGACCGGAGATCGGACTGCCGTATATGATCAGGGAGATGACGTGGTCCTTAATATCCCCGGCGCCGCCGCACTCGATTTGAGGGTTCCAGGAGACGTGACTGTTAGGGATGTTTAGAGCTTTCTTGATCTTGAGGACGGTTTTTTTGTCGCCTTTGTTACAAAGATGTTTAGATAAAGAGGTGGTGAAGAGGAGCGTGAACAAGAACAAGAGAAGTGTCATTGTCTTATCCATCGTGTTTAGTGTTTTGAGTTTTAATGAAAACTGTGATGATATATATAGAAAGGCTATGTATATGAATGGGAGCATGGTGCGGTAAGGTTTTATTAAGGATTTTTGCTTACTAAACTAAGCATGTTGTGGTACGGATTTTTCAAATGTCCGTTTTAAAAATAAAAAGAAATAACTTCTTTTTGGTTGTTACCGTTGTAAGTGAAAGCAGAGGACAAGTCTTTTATTTTATTTTTTGGTTGTTAGATGTTACCGTTGTAAGTGAAAACAGAGGATAAGTTTTTTGGTTTTTTATTTTTCTACAAAAATTTCATAAAAATCTGAAAAAGATTTTCATTTTATTTTCTGGTGTAATAGTTTTCCTTTTTTTCAGGGGTTTGGGATGATGATATGTAGAGAATGAAACCTCTTCATGATTGGTTTTATTATGTGACTTCAGTTTCTACATGTTTTGTTTCTTGGATTTAGATCATTCAGTCACGTAATGCTAAGATTAGCCATCGCCTATGCATAGACTTAAGGATTTATGAAAATGTGATATGAATTCATCAAATGCAAGTTTTGGTTCATGTTTCATTAATCAATCCGGATGATAATACATATCTTTTATAGACTTAACCGGTTCTTTTTCCCGGAAACCTAGAGACAAGCTTGGTTTACTTGCACCTACTAAGAGGTGCACCACACAAACACTTATTGTGAAAAAAGGAATAAGAATCAAATCTCTGAAGACTCCCTCCATTAGGGATGCTTCCACACAACTTGTTGTAGCTAAGATTGAAGACCTGAAGAGGAACTTCGGTCCACTGAACCGGAATATTCCCCGTGATCCCATTGTGATTCAAGTCCAGGACTCCCAATGTCTTAGGGATCTTAACCTCGGTGAGATCGAACTGAAACATGTTTCTTGATAAATCAATGGAAAATGTCGTTTTGTTGGCTCCAAACAACATGGAAGCATCGCCATTGAGCTTGTTCCGTGAGAAATCGATCCCGTTAAAGTCGAGGTTGCCTAGTGATTTTGGTATCGAACCAGAGAGCTGGTTGTGTGATAGGAGAAGGTCAGGGACTTGTCCTTTAAACGAGCCAAATGACTCTGGTATTGGACCTAATTGAAAAGTTACAATAATTAAGTTAGAAAAATTACAGGTTGGTAATGAGATTTAACCAGTGAGTCCTAACAGAGAGACAAAGACAAGTTATTCACCTGTAAGCTTGTTCCTACTAAGATCAATATACTTGAGTTTAGGTAATAAAGAGAGAGAGCTTGGTATGGAACCAGAGAGTTCATTGAAGGAAAGGTTTAAGTAGTCAAGTTCCATGAGCTGACTCAAAAATCCAGGTACCGGACCGGTAAGATTCGTCCAGCTAAGCCAGAGAAAACGGAGATTCTTGAGCTTGGTGATGGTTGGTGGGATTTGACCGGTGAGGTTAGTGAGTTTGCGGAAGATAAGGGTCTGTAGATACGGTAAGTCGCCGACTTCAAGCGGGATCTGACCGGATATCTGGCCGGAAAATATGGCTAGGGAGATGACACGGTGGTTAACGGTGGCGTCGCCGCACTCGAGGCCGTACCATGAGCAACAGTCGCTCTGCGGGTCCCACGTGGATAGGTGATAAGGGTTGTTTAGAGATTTCTTGATCTTGAGGAGGGTGTTTTTGTCATCTTTGTGGCATAGATTTTTAGAGAAAGAGGTCGTGAGGAATGTGAACAAGAACAAGAGCGAGGAAAGCAGAGTGGTTGTCTTATCCATGGGGTTTGGTTTTTGGTGTTTTCTGTTGAAA